ACTGACCCCGGTGTACAAAGCCAGCTCCATAAAGACATGGTGTGACCAGTGTGGTGAAGACCCTTTTCTGTTCCACCATGACTGACCCCGGTGTACAAAGCCAGCTCCATAAAGACATGGTGTGACCAGTGTGGTGAAGACCCTTTTCTGTTCCACCATGACTGACCCCGGTGTACAAAGCCAGCTCCATAAAGACATGGTGTGACCAGTGTGGTGAAGACCCTTTTCTGTTCCACCATGACTGACCCCGGTGTACAAAGCCAGCTCCATAAAGACATGGTGTGACCAGTGTGGTGAAGACCCTTTTCTGTTCCACCATGACTGACCCCGGTGTACAAAGCCAGCTCCATAAAGACATGGTGTGACCAGTGTGGTGAAGACCCTTTTCTGTTCCACCATGACTGACCCCGGTGTACAAAGCCAGCTCCATAAAGACATGGTGTGACCAGTGTGGTGAAGACCCTTTTCTGTTCCACCATGACTGACCCCGGTGTACAAAGCCAGCTCCATAAAGACATGGTGTGACCAGTGTGGTGAAGACCCTTTTCTGTTCCACCATGACTGACCCCGGTGTACAAAGCCAGCTCCATAAAGACATGGTGTGACCAGTGTGGTGAAGACCCTTTTCTGTTCCACCATGACTGACCCCGGTGTACAAAGCCAGCTCCATAAAGACATGGTGTGACCAGTGTGGTGAAGACCCTTTTCTGTTCCACCATGACTGACCCCGGTGTACAAAGCCAGCTCCATAAAGACATGGTGTGACCAGTGTGGTGAAGACCCTTTTCTGTTCCACCATGACTGACCCCGGTGTACAAAGCCAGCTCCATAAAGACATGGTGTGACCAGTGTGGTGAAGACCCTTTTCTGTTCCACCATGACTGACCCCGGTGTACAAAGCCAGCTCCATAAAGACATGGTGTGACCAGTGTGGTGAAGACCCTTTTCTGTTCCACCATGACTGACCCCGGTGTACAAAGCCAGCTCCATAAAGACATGGTGTGACCAGTGTGGTGAAGACCCTTTTCTGTTCCACCATGACTGACCCCGGTGTACAAAGCCAGCTCCATAAAGACATGGTGTGACCAGTGTGGTGAAGACCCTTTTCTGTTCCACCATGACTGACCCCGGTGTACAAAGCCAGCTCCATAAAGACATGGTGTGACCAGTGTGGTGAAGACCCTTTTCTGTTCCACCATGACTGACCCCGGTGTACAAAGCCAGCTCCATAAAGACATGGTGTGACCAGTGTGGTGAAGACCCTTTTCTGTTCCACCATGACTGACCCCGGTGTACAAAGCCAGCTCCATAAAGACATGGTGTGACCAGTGTGGTGAAGACCCTTTTCTGTTCCACCATGACTGACCCCGGTGTACAAAGCCAGCTCCATAAAGACATGGTGTGACCAGTGTGGTGAAGACCCTTTTCTGTTCCACCATGACTGACCCCGGTGTACAAAGCCAGCTCCATAAAGACATGGTGTGACCAGTGTGGTGAAGACCCTTTTCTGTTCCACCATGACTGACCCCGGTGTACAAAGCCAGCTCCATAAAGACATGGTGTGACCAGTTTGGTGGAGGAACTCGAGTGTCCTGCACAGAGCTCTGACTTCAACCATTGCTGAATGACTTTACAAGCCTGGTCTACTTGTCCAACATCAGACCTCACCTCACAAATGGACACCAATCCCCTCAGACACACTCCAAAGTCTTGTGGAAAGCCTTCCCAGAAAAATGGAGATTGTTATATGTGCAGTGGGGAGTTGTGGGCAACTCTATATTAACAGCCAAGCTTAATAAAGACATGGTTTGACCAGTTTGGTGTGGGGGAACACAAGTGGCCAGCAGAGCCCTGACCTCAACCCTACTGAACACCTTTGAAATTAATTAGAACCCCATTGTAAGCCAGGTCTTCTCATCCAACATCAGGACGGGACCTCACAAATGGGACAAATTCCAACAGACACCTCCAAAATCGTGTGGAAAAATGTCCCAGAAGAGTAGGGGTGTGGGAGTGTGGACTCCAGATTAATGGCCATGGGGCAGAGGGCAGCCCCATAATAATGGCCATGAGGGGGGCAAACTCATGTTAATGGCCATGGGGGAGTGGGGCAATTCCAAAGTAAGGACTATAGGGAGGGGGCAACTCCATATTAATGGCCATGGTGCGGAGGGCAGCC